ACGTACTTTGAAAGAACTGCTGCTCTGCAAAGTTAAGGCAGGCCACATTTTGCTTTTATTAATCTTCTGATGAAAACAAAGGGGTAAATTATAATAATAATAAAACTGAAAATATTGCATACAAAAACTGCATAACATCAAATGTTCTGTCATTTAAAGAATAAAGAAAAACAAACCTTTTTTTTGCCTGTCTAGGTCTCATGACATTGCCTGAGGAATGACAATTTTGTGACAAGGTTTGTGACTCCTTCCATAGTGCTAAAAGAATAAAACGTATCAATAAAATTCCAAAATATATTAAAAAAAGAACAATTATGATGCATCTGTTCAATTAACTTAAAAGTCAAAAAGAAATATAATTACATATGAATAAACATTCATATTAAGAAAGGCAATTACAACAGCATCACCCAGGCAATGCAGGATTTGTCCTACTTACATTAAGAAAATGATACAGGTTTATTTGATCAGAAACAAATAGACTTAAGAAGAGTTTCTTTCCCAAAGTAGTGAGTGCAATCATTCCCTGCAGGCAAACAAAAAAATAAAAAATAAAAAATTAAAATGGAAAAAACCTCTACACCAGGGGTGGGCCATTCCACGTCCTGAGGGCCGGTATCCTGCAACCTTTAGATGTGCCTTTAGTTCAACACACCTGAATCAAGTAATTAGATGATTGAGAGGGACTGGAGGAACCGACTGTATACTGAGGAGAAAACTCAGCTATTTGATTCAGTTTTGTTTGACCAAGGATCAATCTAAAAGCTGCAGGATACAGACCCTCGGGAACTGGAATTTTCCACCCATGCTCTTGACCATTTCATAGACTATTGCAGCACAAGCTGCACTTAATGTAAACACTAACAGCTACAACCATTAAGTCTCCTGTAAGGATGCTTCTTCTTCATATTTTTCTAACATTTATTTAACTTTTATCAGAAGATTTTTCAGCCAGGAGCTCTGAAAACTTACATTATGATGAAATATTGACAATAAATACTGTTGATTCAACCAGGTAGCACAAGGCAGCAGGATCAAGCAGCAGCATTTGCTAGTGGTACCTTCGGCGGCAGCTGGATCTAATTTGTTACACTTGGGGTTGCACTTTCACAGGCATGCGACTGACACAAGGTTTCACTAGGCAAGACGTTGTGCAATACAAGTCACAATTAACTATAGACCTGAATATGAACTATGGCATATAAATTTAAACTATGGCATATACCTTCAGAAACTGGACAGGGATTAGATTTGTTATATAATACTTTGAATCGATCCCTGTATTTATTTTGAAATATGCCTTGAAACAGCATTTGTTGTGAACTAAATATATATAAATCAGCGGATATAAATTGGGCAGAGTACTGCTGAACACAATTTAAATCTCTTGAGATGTAGACTAGAGAATCAAAGAAGAGAAGACTTTTGTAACAAGACTAACCTAAATGCCTTTAAATAAAAATTATTTTGAAAGTTATTTCTCACAGTGATGTCTCAAAACTATATACATCAGTAACAGACAGATTTTAGGAAAGTAAGCTATCAGCACAATAAGAATGTAGTTGATCAAAAAGCAATGTGTAGACCTTATCACTGAATACTGTGTTTTGTTGTAATATAAAAAGTCAAATAATCAAGTTTTATGACCTTCATGTGTGTTTTAATTTGAAATCTGTGTTAAAGATGCTGACTCACGATAGTGAGTATGGAGATTAGGATGCTCTTTCTTCAACTGTACGTGAGTCTGCCCATAAAAGTGTTTCCATGATAAAGGATTCGGCCTTTGGATAGATGAAGCCCAACCCATCAAGTCTGAAACCATGGGACATACATTTGCAGTGTTTGTACTGGCTTAATAAAAACAACAACATTTTGTTGATTATTAATCAACCTTTGACAGTATTTAAGACTTGGCTGAACACAGAAACCCAAATTGTAGAGGACTTGAAGAAAACAATGCTGAGAATGGAGACAATAATGATTTTACAATTGTTTCTTCTAATCTGCTCTTTTTCCACAGCTCTGCTACAGTCAGACTCAGAGAATGAAATCATTTCACATTTAAGGCAAACTGAATCCCGGACAGGAGACACAGGAAGTCTCTCTGACCCCCAACAAAGATGTACACAGGACATCAATGCTGTGCTGAGAGAGATGAGCGCCTCTTTGGGTGGACTAAAGGTTAGCGTGGAGTACTTACAGAGGGATAATGAAGGTATATTAATTAAGAAAACCAAATCTTTGAAGAATCACCTCTCAGAGTGAATTGTTTATTTTTAAATGAACATTTAAACATGTTTTGTTTTACTCTTGCAAACAGCTAAGACAAAAGAAATAGAGTTGTTGAAAGAACAGGACCAAGGTAATTACTGTATTAGATAAAAAAGAAACACATGAATAGA